AATCAGTTAATTAAAGAAAGGACAAATTAGTTCTGATTTGTGAAGCAAATCGGTTTTTTGAAGAACAGCTAATGTGTGTGTGATAGTATGAATCAGGAATTGACGTGTGAGCTATAACGTATACTCTGGAATGTTTGAATGGTAACTTTTGTAATGTAAAAATTACCATGTGTAGGACGTCAAATTTGCAAATAAATACATTTGTACTGACAAGGTGACAAAGAGGATATCAGGTCGTTTAGTCCTCATACAGTTGGTGTTGCTCACATTGATTTCGACCATATCACCCAGTGACCTTAGACAATGAAGGATTCGTGTAAAATGTTTTTGTGATTGTTCTTTTGGTTAATAGTTAAGTATCGCAAGTAACCAAGACTGCGTCATTGAGCGATCGTATATGTGTAAACCTTATCGTTTGGGCCTTTGAGGGCATATGTTTACTTCCTATCGCATTGCCTCCTCTGACGCGTTCTTGTAAGAGTGATCTCTTTAAATTTTTCCTCGGGACAAGCAGATAGAGACTAATCCAACTAATTAGAAATCTACCATCTATTTGCAATAAAATATTTTTTTCCAAAACAGGATCATTACGAGTGAATGTTAATTAATGCAATGGAATAGTCATTTTATTTATTAATCATATTTAGATGATCAATATATACATACAAGAAATAATGTTGCAAAATGCCATTGCTTTAACAGCCAATATAAAAATTGTATCTATTATTATAAAGTGTAAGTGCCCTCAACATTGCATATCGATATGTATTATCTTGGTATACACTTTATCTCTGATAATGTCGTTAAAATAGAGTTATCACCAAAGCACATTCCTAAAATATGTTAAATGTAAATTGCTTTAGCCAGTGAATAGGCTAATGGTCGTGATGATAGACTTTGTGGCTGTGTTGTCTCTAAATCCGATTATATGAAGAATCTGAATGACCCTGTGTTAATGTATCTATCATCTATGACAATACAGATTTAGTTGCGTTTCAATACAAATACACGAAATCCTGAAAATGGTTGGAATGCCAAATTCCATCAGTGATCATCAGTGTCGTCATATAAATACTTTGTTTGAGTCTGACTAATGTCATAATATCAGTCGATGCTTTGATATTTGTTGAAATCTGGTATATCAGTTGTAACAGTTTGACAGAATAAATCGGAAGATAAATCTGAATACCCATCACCACAATTACCTCACTCTGGAATCCACTGTGTATATGGCCATGTGGTTGTCTATCGCCACAATCGTAACCTCTCTGCATGTACCATCCACTTCCTGTTAATTTATCATGGCATGCTCAATTGACAATCAAAGAATGTGCTGCCAAATTAGGGTGGATTATGTAGTAGTTGTAATGAGCTTCACAAAAGTGTTACAAGGGGCACCTGTTCGATCAAAGGACCAAAGCACGTCTCGGTAGACCAGTTAATTGCGATATCACCCGTGTGTGCATTGCTGAAGGACATCTGGAGGCGGTAATTTGTGCAAACACTAAGCTTATGGTAAACAAGATCCTTCTGCAATACAATAAGTGAAAACAAGTAGGGTATGGTTTTGATTAAATACCTAATTATCGCATAATTAGGATATGAATATCATATATTGCTTGAACAAATGACATGTGTTGTGACATAATTTAAGTGTAAAATGTTTGTGTTGTACATGAAAGGATTTTTTTCTCATTAATTGAAGTCTGCTGTTTTCATCTTTTGTATAGATGTTATATATTAAGATCACAAGAATTTTAAGCGAAAAGTGATGAGTAACAGTCATAACCAGTCTTTTGTCATTGAATAGAAGAAAACAATTTTACTCAAATAACAGGGATTTACAAAACGTGCATAGCAAATAAATCAAACGATTAATGGAAACAAATAATTAAGTATATATATCTAACATCTCTTTAGTAAAGCATAACATACAAGATTCCAGTATTTCATCAGTATCATTGTTAATGCTTTGGAGTCCCTATAACGCATTGCATTGGGTAGGTTGATAGTTACTATACAGGGTGTAATATAATTCGCAAGTATCATACCAAACATATGAATACAGGTACACTTATTTGTTCTAAGTCAGCAAACTAACTCGTAAGCGTGCTTCATACATATAGAATTATAGAAAACCTAACCGGGACATTCAATTATCCAAGGTATATTTCCACATATCTTACCATAAATAATATGACTTTTTTGTACGTACCCTGTAATTCTATATAAATTATAATGTATAACACATATCTATGAAACGTTTCGGTAATTAATCTACCAAAGAATATAACAATTTTGAAAATGTATTATCTTAAATATGTGAACGTTTTAAATTAAATTAAATGACGATCATTTGAAATTGTATATGCTGCCTGGTGTAGGTTTGGTATATGATGTAAATTGATATGGTTGTGAAATCAATTATTTATCATATGGTCATAAAAACATACATCATCGAATTAATCAACCAAATAATTAACGTTAAGCTTACACAGGTTTTCCTTACACAAATTAGTTGATGGGAGTTTCGAACGCGATTTGATTCATGATATATATACAATGTAGATTTAATTTATCAACTCAATCATCATTTGCTAAATGTGGTGTACCAAAGTGCGATGAAATGGAAGTCTGGTATTGGTGTGGTATGACTGTGACTAATGTAACAGGTCTGTCTATGCATATTATAAAGTCACGACATACCAGTCATACTTCAGACCCGCTATTAACAGCCATATCAGTCATAACCGAGCGATCCAATTAAAACGTGGGTAGGTGGCGCCACATGTTGCAGGCACACCCAATGATAAACCCTCAAAACGTTAGCGTCATGACAATGTGTGGCCCAGTAAAAATAGCTATGTATCTTGGGATGTACTAATCTTGATCAATATTTATGTCTGTTATTATACACCAACATCACCTGTGACTGAAAACCAGCATCACCTTTTAAAACTGAATTAACTGAATTAACCCCACAATGACATCAAAACGTTAGCGTCATGACAATGTGTGGCCCAGTAAAAATAGCTATGTATCTTGGGATGTACTAATCTTGATCAATATTTATGTCTGTTATTATACACCAACATCACCTGTGACTGAAGACCAGCATCACCTTTTAAAACTGAATTAACCCCACAATGACATTAAGCGTTACGATAAATTGGAATACAAAATAAACTAGGAAAATAACGTTCAATCATCAACGTTAAACTAAACCTTAAACACATGTTTAAGATGTCTTTTGACGCCTGTCAGTGTTTCAATGCCCACTGTCACGTTATGCGGTCGATGGACTGAGTTACGGGTGTCATCCTGACCTCGGAAGTCACGCATACAATGGCGGCTGTCGGTATTTATGACAATGTGTATCGTCTACTTGAGCAGGTTGTCAGTAAATCCGGCTGAAGATGTCAACCGGACAATGCTGATTTTCAAAGTTTTAAAACGGTTGCCCATTGATATTTTTTTACGTATTCCGTATGTCTATCCAATTGTTAAACAAGTGGTTAACACTTCGGACTTCCACGCAGGCGGCCGGGGTTCGATCCTCGAAGTCGTCGCACGCATGGAATATAAGAGAAAATGTGTTTCTCCTGCCCCCACAACTCCAACAACCTAGGTAGAGTGTAAAATGGTCTGGGGTGGATGTTGCGTTATCTGTGCTGTATCATTCAAGTGAGGTTGCACTATAAAAGATGCCGTTGGAAGCACGGTCCCACTACAAACAGAGCACAATAAACCTCCAGCACACACGCAGGTATACACACATAGGCAGATATTAGCCAGGTGGCATATGACTAGAAGTTAGCTCATGAAAAGGCAGCTCCTGCGAATCCCTCAAAATAAATTGTATTGATTAATGTATATCTATGTACTGTAAAGCACTTTAGAGTGGTTTATGTTAGCTAGATAGGGCGCTTTATCAAATGTTGTGTATTATCATTATTATTATTATCAGTGCGAGTTTCGTTGCCATATCGCCTTGGTAACATGCTATGCCCGGTGACACCTGATGACGCCCCACTTGCCCTATCCTCCGGATGATAAATACCACATTACCTCTACATAATATCTCAGCGTAACGAGGACACATTGTCGTTAGTTAAACTATGTCTTTTTCTAAATGACTGGTGATTGTCATTACTTGAAGATATGTGTCCGATAACAGAGGCGATCGGTGGGGATGAACGGGAGCACCCTTCACCAAACACCTACCGGTAGAAAGATCGTGAGCCCTTCAGTAACACTGTGATCATTGGACCATTGGATCTAGTCCCATAGGGTCTCTACCTGACACTCGTAAATCGTACAGAACATTGAGATCGTGCAATTTCGGACTCATTAATTAAGGCATAGTTCTAATCTTAATGTGTCAGTAGCACATCGACCTATTCCATGTATTAAGCACTTCTTTAGCACATGGTACAATTGACTTATTTCATAATGCAAATGATGAAAGGGTTATTGTACGTGTACAGATCATCAGAACTATTACAAATATCAATATAGCCTTAGTAAATGAGATGATTAAGTATTAATTATTAAAATTACACTGCTGCGAGACAAAATACTGATTTCCATATAAACAAAGTGTTCTATTACACAAAGTATTCTATTACACAAAGTATTCTATTACACAAAGTATTCTATTACAAAAAGTATTCTATTACACGAAGTATTCTATTACACAAAGTATTCTATTACAAAAAGTATTCTATTACACAAAGTATTCTATTACACGAAGTATTCTATTACACAAAGTATTCTATTGCAAAAAGTATTCTATTACACAAAGTATTCTATTACATGCTAACGAGGTTTTACCCTAGATATGTTCATCATCTTTGTTACAGATATATGTAATTACACATATAAAATAAATGCATAGATTTTACGTATCTACATTTATATATTAATACGGAATCAAGACTAATTTACAATTTTACATATTTTTATGAATGATAATGTTAATGGTAACCTTTACTTTTCAGGTTTAAAATGGATGTCGTACATGCACTGTCGTGGGAACGAGCGCCACCTGACCGAGTGCCGGTATCCTGGGTACGGACGGGGTACAAGATACCGATTCTGCTCTGGCCGACACACGTCTGCTGGTGTTAAATGTCGTACGCCTGTTACCACAACCTCCTCCACTACCATCAAGATCACAACCCCAAAAACAACCACTAAAACCACCACTCCGAAACCCTCCGTTCGTGCCATTGATACTGGTCCTGCTGCACTCATGGACGGTCGCGACTCCGGTTACGTTATTCTTCCAAATATTAATCCCGAGTCTTCTCTCTCTATCAGAGATCAGAGTCATAATAGCGTGAATGGAGTTAATGATGAGGTCTCGCAAAACAGGATTTTGTTACCTGCTACTCCTGCTCCAACTGCTAGACAACCTACTACAACAACTACGACAACACAAAAGCCAACAACTACGACAACAACAACTACAACACCTAGACCGACAACCATAACAACAACAACAACTCCGAAACCGACAACCACAACACCAAAACCAACCACTACAACAACTACAACAACTCCAAAACCCACAACACCAAAACCAACCACTCCGAAAGCAACAACCACAACTACAACACCAAAACCAACCACTCCTAGACCGACAACCACAACTACAACACCAAAACCAACTACAACTACCAAAAAACCTACCCCTCATCCAACAACACCTAAACCAGTGACTGCAACGCCTAGACCTATAGAGCCTACCCCAGCGGCTGACGACAATAAAATTCAAGTGCATGCTGTAAGCAGCTCTGTAAACGACCCGAACGCTAATTCGATTGATGTCTTGATCAATAATGTTTTAGATAATTCTATTGTACCTGTTATTGAAGAAACAACATCAAGACCAACTACACCAAAACCGACAACAACAACCACAACTCCGAGACCGACTACAACAACAACGACGCCTAAACCGACGACAACCCCGAAACCGACGTCAGCTTTACCGAGGCCGACAACACGACGGGCTGCCATTGACAACATAGGACCTAGGGAAGCATCAACACGACCACGACTTCGGATCAATGGGTGGGTCATGGACAAGCTCCTCAAACGATGGGTGTTGAAGCTTCGTAATGGCAAAATACTAGTGGCAAAACCAGGAACAGTAGCAGAAAGGAAAACATTTGCTCAATATATCGCACTGCGTAAAGCAAGACTTGGCGAAAGTACCCCAGCTCCTTCAACTACGACTACGACGACGACGACAACAACAACAACACCATCGGCAAGAGAGGACGAGATGAAGGCCGATTCTGCTGTGACGCCGGCTCCTAGCTATAACAGCATCAACGGCTTGAATTCGGGATATGCAGGAGCGTCACGTAACCAGGTCGGTGAATCACAGAGACAGGATGAAAGGAACGGTCTGACAGACGACAATAGGATTTACCCTAATGGCATGGAACGGTACAGAAATGGAAGTACAGGAACAAGGCACAGGCACCACCATGGCAGACATAGACCTTCTACAGGAGTAAGTATATATATATATATAATTGGTGGTTCTAGCTAGCGACGGAGTGAATTCTCTTTGCATGGAAATAGCAGAAAGATGAATTATAACTATTGAATTTAACATTTTAATTAAACTTAATAGCTTAACTAACATCATCCAATTGCTGATTAGTATTTTTAGCGAACACTAAGAATCTGGGCATCCAATCATTTGGTATCGCACTAGCTCTCTTATTAAAAAATTGAGGTTTTTAAATAAGATCAGCTAAGAAATGCTTTTTAATATCTCTGGCAGCGCTATATTACAGCTTCGAAAATAAACTTCAATTTTGGACTGATAAAGATCTTATTTTCAAACGTGAAAACGGGCAAAGTATTAGACCATTTCAATTATTAGAATACATAATACTATACATTGGAGCGATTTTCACTATTTAACAACGGTCACTGTAGACCCAATAATAATCCTTATTAAAAATATGTACATGGTAGGCGGAGTAAGCATGATAATTTTCAATTAATGAATCATTTACATGCAATATAAGAAAATAAGTACATCCCAGTGCATGTACAGGGCATGCAAATATATTGTTAGTTTAGATGAAGTCAAGATAAAATTTCATTGGATATAATATAAGGTGAATTAAAACACACATCATGCTCACATATGACCACCCACATCTGTTGATATGGGCAATATTAATTTATTAAATCGGATCCTAATGACTGAGCCTTTATTTGAACGGTTGTGAGCACTAGCCCCAGGTCACGTACTTATGACGACATGCATATCCTCTAACTGCTTACTCAGCACAGTCACCTCGTATCGCGTGACTTCAACAAATAAATACATATTGACGGAGATCACACATAATGGTCCTGAATGATATAAACAGACAAATAATGGCAACATGGACGTAAACATATACAATTATAATTGAATTAAAAGTCTGGAAATCTTTCAACAATTAAAACGCTATCGCTTTCAAGCCGTCTACTATTTGTAATAAGAGTGAGTTATTGGTGAGATAGTGGCTGAGTTGTCGTCAGATATAATGTTATCTAACCTGTACGCTGGAGGCCGGTATCAGGTGCTATGTTCTCTAGTTACTATAGAAACACGATAAGATGGAGGTGACCGTGGTTACCCTGAAGTCGTCCTACCACGCCGGCCAAACACCATCTACCTCTATTGTAGATATACGATACCTTGTTTCTCTCGTAGGGGATGTGATCCCGAGTTATTCCCGTACCTTTCGTGTTTGGATGCTGAAATGTATATACAGCGATGATTGACAACAGTGTTGTTTTTTATATAAGACAAAAATCAGATTTGACTAAGATTTACTCCTTAATATATCTTATTACGTGGATTAATTGCACTTTGTGTACTTTTCAAATGTTAAATAATGTATGTTTATTCCATTGCCCTACATCCGTGCATGGTAATAAGTTATTTAACACTCTCACTGTACATACACATATAACACAATTTATCATTCAGTAAAGCAATGCTTTAGTGGCACCTTCATACATAAACGAAACCACGAAGGTATTCATCCGATATCTCAGATAGCAGTTTTAGTGAGGATGAATGGATGATGAATGGACGCACACCGTGCCGGTGAATTGTACTTCCGTGCAATGAACTAGTGCTACCTGCTACGGGAGACAAACATCTTCTATTGTATACGCGGAATTGTTATTAAGATGAATGCTTTATTTTTTGGCAAATTAATATTATTGATTGTTCATGTCCATGTTCATATTGCGCTTAGAAAAAATGGGACGAGTGCATCTCACCGGAAATTCATTCTTTAAATCACGTGCAGAACACCGGAAATACATTCTTTCAATAACGTGATTACCAATTGAAGAGAATTCTTTAATAAGTTATTTTTTGCACCATTTTGCGTCAAACGTATGACGGAGATGCACAGTTGTACATCGTAAAATCATTAAAACGTTACGATTTAAACAACTTTGTCAAACTATCGATACAACTATATTCAGAATAAATAGACGTACGCCGATCAATGGCTAATATGTCTGTCCTCGTGCAGTTGAATATTATTTCATGTCCAGGGGTTTAGGCTAGGGAAGTTCTACCCAAGGGGTTTTCAAATTTGGTAAAACCCGAGGCTTTGCTGAGGGTTTTGCCAAGTTGAAAATCCAGAGGGTGGAATTTCGTTATCCTACACCCTTGGGCATGAAAGAGTATTTTTCTCTCATTCCAACAACCAAAATAAGCCCAGAAACCATGCAAACGCGTGTGTACTGGCTACCATTTTGAAAATATCAATTTTCTCCCTGAACTATTTTGACGAAAACGAACTCTTCAGTGGGATTTAGCATGCCCCAAATGTGCAAACAAAGTAGGCGCAGAGAAAATGATCTCATCTTTCTAATGTGTACGGTAAAAATGTCGTAAAAGGTTTTAATTTCATCACGTTGCCTTTTTCCGTATTGCGGCATCGGTGTTTTCCAAATTCGTGACGTCACGTCATTGTTGAGCCAGTGTGACGTCACGTCACGTGAAATGGAGTGTAAGATTAATAGAATCCATCCCTGATTCGAGATATGGATAAGGTTATTCAAACCCAAGGGATAAAATATTGATCAGAAGACCCGAGGCCCTTCCGAGGGTCTTCTGCTCAATTTTTTATCCCGAGGGTTTGAATTACCTTATCCATACCTTACATCAGGGATGGATTCTATTTCTTGCTTGTTACCTTAAACCTGTAAAAACGGAAAAACAGCTGCTCTTCTAGTAAAGTTTTAAACTGTCCGCACATTTCTCATTTGCATATGAAGCCCGGAAGGCAGGTGTTAATGACGCCAATGACCCTGACTGACCCTAAAACGTCATAAAATGACGCCTCGAACAAGAGCGTGACCCCGGAAGGTCACCACAATTCCCCGCCAGTCTGCGCGTGTAAGCGATCCAGACCCGTTGGTCGGATAGAATTTTTCAGCACCGCCGGAAATGCGGATATCTCGGTCTAGTATGCCAGAAAGAATTTTCCTACGCCCCTTTCTTACCCTGGACAGCTCTATCTTACACACACGGAAATGAGAGAAAATGTTATATTGACTTAAAGTTAAACCCGAGGAGTAAGCATACACTGTGTGTCGGATACTTATTACTTACTTACTGCATTAGACATGATAGCTTAATATTTGAGACAATTTACAACGGTTTGCTTGTATTGTATATCTTTTAATGTGTGTATGTTTTCCTCCATAGAAAATCCAGGTACGGATTGCAGGAGGACGACAAGACACAGACGGGAGGCTGGAGGTGTTACCCCCGGGACAGAGAGAGTATGGGGTCATTTGTGGTGACCAATGGACATTCAAGGAGACCATTGTGGCTTGTAAACACCTGGGGACTGGCTACGCGCAACAAAACACCTCTGTAAGTACTCATCGAATACCTAAGAACTAATGAAACTGCTGTACTTATGGTCCTGGTCTGATGGAGTCCTCTTTGATCATGTACATCGTTTGTGTAATATGAACGGATTGGCTGTCATACAACATAATAATAATTAATGACACTTTGGATGTAGTTGAATTTGCCTCTATCAACAGTTGATACTGCTATCACATGATCTTCTTTGTTTCAAGGACAAAAGCCATAAGTCTTGTGCAACATGAAGGTTCATGTATATGATTATGCACATCAGTGTAGTTCGTGGTTTTGTTGTCAATACCAAAATTCCCAGTTTAAGAGTATGAATTTTACCTAGATTTACATCATGGGTGTAGTTGACGAAGCAGGAAACGCCCACACTTACGGAACACATGGTGTTGTTCTCCTTGTTCCTTTTCAAAGGTCTTCATGTATGTCTTCCTTTTGTTCATAGTTTGCGCTAGTTTTCTCTTGTGTTTAAATTACGGTTTTGCGCTCACGCACACATTTTCCTCTGTTCCTGTTATCGTTTTATCGTACCGAGTACGAATTCTTTTTTTGTGTTCACGCTGTAATAAATTTTCATAATAAAACTCAACATGGTAGCAAACGTCTGACTTGTCATTGAATAAGTTGTCATATATCATATGTATAACAAGTGTGGTAGCTGACGGATTTTAGTGAATATTCCGTTAACTGTTAACAGTGTACCAATATATTTACACAAAGTTATCTACAATTACAAAGCCTAAATTATTCTTTTGATGTAAAATGCCAAAATATAAGATCTCCGAAAAGGTAATTTTACTCTTTTGAAATAAAATAGTTTTGCGGGGGTATACGTATTAATGACTGATTGATTTCTCATTTTGACTCTTTGTAAGTTCGCTAATAGATGTCAAACGTCCTCGTGTCATTGAAAAGATAGCAACTTCACTGACCTTCTGTGGGTTAGACATAGACCAACGTGAATAGTTATCTATCTACGATACCTTCTCTTTTTATAAATCGTTTGCCAACTTACCATATATTATGACTGACGACGTTTGTAAATTATTAAATAAACTCTTTTCTCACATGTTGTAACCCTTTAATGTATTATGTATATAAAAATACGGGACCATGCCTATTAATTTAACATCTGGTATTAAGATATCTCCTGTCTTAGTGACCTTGGTGTCGCCTTGATCTGAGTGTTCGACGTTAGTTATCATCTACAGCTATGTTAAATGTATCTGAACCGAGTTCTTTCCCTGTCTAAACTGATCGTATATAAAGGTCGATACCTTTATCAACAGTATGGAGACTTAAAACAGATGTTGAACTATTGAATGCATACCTCGTGTTCCTCAATCGTTCACCATTGAGAAATATTTAGCTTTGGCAGGTAACCAGTATCAATAAATAGCGGTAACGTTAGAGAAACGTCATTAATTCTTCCCAACTTTTCAGTGTTTGGATGTTTTTTTTTAAACAAAACGACGAATGTATTGATGCTGTAATATGTATAATTTATGATTATTTTTGGATAAATGTTCAATCCTTTTGATGCCTCTGTGCTGTCATCACATTACTCAGAGGCGAAATTGATCATATCGTTTTTCATAGTTTTTATGTTCGAATTTCGTTGTATCACGGTAAATATGTGACACACGACTTCAGGTATAGTAGGAAAAATCCAGACAGATATCAACAAGATATTCTTATGGACTTTTGGAAACATGACATTGCAGAAAACTTTACATACCAGAGGTTTTGGTGACTCATGGACAACTTCTTTAGATTTCGCGACTTGTACTTTGTAAAGTACGTTCAATTTGGTGTTAAAACAGATACACGTAATCTGTTACGTAAAACGGCAGTGTAACATCTAAGAGTACACGTCAGAGGGGTCAGAGGGCATGACATGTACTGGTGTTACGCTGGATCAGTAGAAAACACTCGAGTTTGATCCTTGACAAAGCTGTTGGAATGAATGAAGGCTTCTCTCATTGATGATCTCAATGCTATCCTCGTTGTTAGTCTTTCCTGATTCATTTTCCTCTTGATGCTTGAAGTTATCAAAGGATAACTTCTCTTAACTTTATACCAAAGACAGATGAAAATGGATCTTACCTTCTTTTAGTATTTTATTACGCTTTCATGCCAATTAAGTGAACTTCAGGCATCAGTTGCAAAACCTTGCCTGTTTGACTTTTACAAAAGAAAGACAATATCATTTTCCAATGCAAAAGGCTAAAGGAAATCGAATATTCCTGCATTTTTGTTTGTACCTTTGTAATCACTTAAGTTTTGTGTCAAGTTAAGGTTGATCGATAAAAAATTATTTATTTGAAGGAAAGTAATTCAAAGGCGGCCCATATTTCATGTTTACTACGCATTATTTAAAGTCTGATGCTCCATGTATGTAACATCCTGCTCTTTGATATTTCAATACGTTTCAACGTAAGATGTTTCTGTCAGTGTATTTTAATTCACGATTTGATACACGCAGCCATTTCTGATTCGTATCTCACGGTTGTAATCATTAGGTCTAGACAACTTAAATGAATTGATATTTCTGAACGTGTTCATTCTATTTTAATCAGACTTCAGTGTTCGGAGGTAGAAATATGACTAAATATTTCTACTCTGTGAGATGCACGGGGAAAGAGGAGAACCTGAACGAGTGTCAGTGGACAGAACACGACGGTGGCGTCAGGTGCAGGAGGGCCGACTCTGTAGCAGGCATAGTCTGCGCAAATGGTTAGTACAGCCAGTATACTAATATACACTAGATATTAAAGTCATAATTGAATCTAGAGTTAGGCTTAAGGATCCCTGTCCCACTAAACTGTGTTACATCGTATGTTCAGACACCTCCCCTTAATTTCGTTTTGGATACAGTACTAGGTTCGAATCCCGGCCTTGCCCGGCGCTGAGGTACGTCCTCGGATCACTTTTGTTAATTTTATTTTGTTAATTTCATTTTTATTATTTTTTCATAAAAATCCTTCAAGGTATAGCTCTTTTTCAAAAATGATTTGTCAATGCTTTAGTCATACCACAAAAAAATCAGTTTTCATTACATAGTTACAGCTTTAAGCAGCGAGACGGGGATTATTAAGCTAACAATGACAGGTATTGTCACCTAGCAGTTACATGTTTACCATTAAATCGTTCAAGGAGGTTTTTTTCATTATCCGTTAGGTAACAAACACATCTAAAATGTTAATCGGTGAAGGCAATGCTCACCTGTCGTAAACGTGCCAGGCATCCATTGTGATATGTTATTACAGCGAATTAGAGAGGGCGTACCCATGTGCTATTAGGATTGGAATATATCTTCATGAAAGCAGTGCTGCAAAAAACGATCATGTCAAATAGAATAAATCTGCAACGTGTCGTTTATCTTAGTTTGTTAACTGTATCAAGATTTAAAACGTACTAGAACACACCAAACGACTGTCTCGTGTATGTCGTCAGCTGCAGCTTAGTTTATCACAAACTATGCAATACAATTTTACGATAGCTTATATAAAACTCTAACTTAGACATGCAATTTGTATGATAGCAAAGGTTGAACCTATAATTATCTCGATATATCACTCGATGAGATAAACATAATCTGCTAAAATATCTGCGGTTGTAAACATACTGTTTTACTTTTTACTTTAGGAAAATATCGACTCGTCACCTAAAAACATTAATATTAATAAAATAATTTTCACTTAGATTTTCAAGAATTACCAACTTTTTTCATATTATAAATTGTTTTAATACCTTTCAATGTGATTGAAATTAATATTAATCTACTTTATTGCTTTAATTGCCTAGTAAAGAAGGATTTATGAGGATTAAAAATGTCTTTGGATTATTAAATAAGGTAGTTTGTCCATTATATAATAAAGCAAAAATATAATTATTCGGTTTTAGTCAATTATCAAGTGAAGGTTTTAAGAACGTATTTGGATTTCGAAATAAATAATGTATCTATTTCAACAATTACATTATATCATTATATTATTATAATCTACTTAGGAATGAAAATAAACCATGTTTGTACTTTAACATTAAAATGTCCGTGTAAAACTGATACATAAAAAACTGGATTATAAAGAATACTTAGATCAAGATAGAAACTACATTATTTGAATTTAAATGAAATTTAAAACCTTTGTATGGCCTAAGATCGCCCGGATCAGTCACTTTCGACCTCGGTAGTCTATCTAATGCCTGCCAATAACCGTGGACCTTGGACGGTATGACTTACCTCGCCGTACCCCTAACGGTTTAACAATCAAACACAGTAGAAGAGATACACCGCGAACGAGCGGTGTCGGTATATTACTTTGCACTGAGCTAAAGCTGAAATTGCATTTAACTTACAAAGGGTCTGTATGCAGTTCATTTAAAAGGAAATATCGAGTTTCTGCAGAGTTCCAAAACAAGAAGGTTTTTATTTCGATCCCCAATGTAATCAGGAACATCTGCGCTCGATTAACGCCTATCACAGGTCGTAAAACTAACAAATTTATATAGGAGGCAATCAAACGGGAACGCTTGGAAATACACGCTAACATATTGTGTAGTAAGTACAAGAAAGACGCATTATGAATTTCTCTAATATTCATTCCTGATTTCTTGATGATATAGCAGAATTGAAAGATTTAAGCTAACGCTTTTTACAGCCAGCAACCCTTGTTGTTAATTTGCCAAACCTTTGTATGTATGGGAGTATTGTTATATAGCACAATGTAATACACAGGTGCTCCAGTTAAAAGAAAAGATCCGAAACACATTGAAACGTACAAAATGCCTTATGTTTTATGAATCACAGGATCATTTTGTGATGATACTTAATGCTAGTGATGCTATTTACAAATGCAATCATGACCAGTTTAATTTTTAACGCGCTTAAACGAACAACATTCATGATTTGATGACTTCATACTGTATACTTATTTACTTTTACAGGGTTAATATTTCATGGTTGACCTGATCAAAACAATCTATCACGGAAATATAATGTTACACTTCATTGCCTGGTAAAAATATCCCAATGAAGTACGAACAGTTGTATTTATTTTGCAAGTGTTTTATCAAATTAGCGTAAAATACTACACTGAATCGGTGTGTATCTGCATTATTTGGTAATGGAAGGGTCAACAGATATGTTGTTTTATGTCCGTATACTAGTATTAGTATTAGTTCAGTATTGAATTTCGCGCAATCTTTGGTGTAAATTATCACACGGCAATTATCAATTATACTGTATACTAACATTTCGTAACATTACCCTAAACTCGGATCTTCTGCTTATTTAGATTTACCTGACCTTGAGCCAAGTACATATATGGTGGAGACCACAGCTTTCCTTCAGGACAGATCCCTGTATTACCTGACATGCGCAATGGAAGAAAACTGTCTGTCAAGTTCCGCTTACGACCTCCAAAGACGAAATCCTTATGGTAAGACACTTTTTCTCTATCTGTCCAATATAAATGTGTTGAATTTATTTAAACAACAACCTTCTGATCTTCACTGATCATGATATCACTGTCATTTTTTGTAATAGTACGAATACAATGTGTTATCCTTATTCAGCTTTGCTAATAGGCTGAGTTATACCATTCATTTATATTCAGTTTGTTTTTGTAGGGTGTGCCTAAAATATGGCGATGTCTTTAGTATTTAACAGGTAGACAATACGTTCATGATATTCTTCTCTCTGAAATACTAGTATTTATGTATTCAAAGGTTCGTTTGATCGGAACGTACACAAAGTTATAAATATTACAGTATGTCTATCTGTTTGTTTATATAGGCTGGAGGAGAAGCACCAGACGGTTGTTGAGATTCTCCAGTGTTGTACGTAACCGTGGCACGGCTGACTTCAATCCGACCAAGAGGCGTCACGAGTGGGATTGGCATGCATGTCATATGTAAGTCACAATTACACTAGGAGACAACAGGGTGACGTCATTATTAATACATTTTATTTACCACTATCCATTCAAGATCCACGTCCCCCATGTAAAACGCCGAAGTGGGGTACCTTTATCCCAGATAGGTGATCCCAGTTCGGGAATTTCTATTTTCAAAATCTTGCACAGAGAGTACGAAAAAAGAAAGTCTGAGTTCAAAATGTTCAGTGCCATATCGACTGACGTTTTGAAACGTGACGTCATTTTCATGTGAAACGTGACTAATGAAATTTGATATTTTGGCCTGTGCAGAATATCTACCATTCGAAACACAGACGGCGTCTGGCATTGTATCGCGTTAATATACAATTAACAAAACTCACTGTGAGTGTTTAATTGTAAAGTATACACCAGATCATTTCCTGTTCTATCTAAATATGTTCCAGGTTAATAAACTGTATCTATTAAATCTTCTATAGCTGTTACTGCATCCGTAGTAATGTCACTGCTGAATTTACAAATCTCACAAACTTGGTGTTAAACTGATCAGTTGCGATGTAACAATAACCCATATACATGAAAGACAGTCTTGTCCTAGGTGCTATAGATGTCTAATATACTAAGTTTAGGAAGCTGTATAGCTGATATGTGTCATAAAATATCAATAGCAGTACTCCTCGAATTAATACTATTTAAATACCCTTTTCACGTAGCTGTACACTCATATAGGTTGTGCCGTTATTTTCATACAGAACTCCAATTGTATATCAATGTCGCTATGACAGTCCAAAAGAGAACACAAACAAAGTAAAGTCACAGTAAATACGTGTGTAACGATATCAGGCACAGTGATACGAAATGTGTGATAAGTATATTATAATTATGATTTGCAGAGTATGTCGTATCATCTCATGTTGAAGTCACCATTCTGGGGTGTCATTTTTGCTATCCGACGGATGAGAATTCTTATTGTGGTGTCAATATCGGATTGACTCATAATTCAAAATGTGACAATGTCCCGCTTTGTAAAACAGCGTGTTTGGCAAATTACTGAAGTATCGATACTCAACTTGATCTACTAGGGGTGGATTGGTTTTCTACTTAACGATTTGTCCAATACGGACCTTATTCACAGGTTTGAGTGGACCTTCCGTAATGATCGCGTTAGAGAATAGGGACGTCAATCAGTGACCAATGAGGGCCTATCAATAACGTACCAGGATACGTGTCACAGACGAATGTGATACAATAAAACGTATCACGTGCTTATTGAGGCATGTATTTTTCTTTCATCCCCGTGTTAACTGCTTGTAACACCCCCGTCTTGTTTTAAATACAGATATCTAGTGTTCAATTTTCACGTTTTATATCGCACACATCTGAATTTGTTTGACAGGCATTATCATAGTATGGAAATATTTGCCCACTACGACATCACGGACCAAAACGGGAACCTTATGGCCGAGGGTCTGAAGGCCAGCTTTTGTCTCGAGGACTCTGAATGTGGACGAGGGGTTCGACCAAAGTACAATTGCCAAAACTTTGGCCAACAAGGTAGATAATATATTTCAACTGTCATCATGTCTAGTTGTTTATTATAATAAGCTAACATGAATAAAAGCGTTTCGTCATTCTCACAACTTAATAAAACTGAGTTAATTTTTCATTGTGTCTTCAGTGTTAAGTAATATCAGTATTGGATAAAAGATGTTTTATGATTAAAAATGTAATGAGAAAAGATTATTGATCACATTTTTTATGTCCAGTTCAAGTATTACAAAATAATCCAATCGGTTAATTGAAATAATTCACCGCCTCAAATATGTTCCACCAACATATACCAATTAAGGATCTGGCCATATTGGTTATTCAGTAAGTTACTGAATTGGGTGTTAATGTTGATGAAAGCCTTTGGCTACGCTGATACCTATCTAAAGGATATCCATGTAAATATTTCTTTTGTTTGAAGGAATATCTGTCGGGTGCTCTGATAACTACATGGCAGATATAGACTGTCAATGGATAGATATAACTGACCTGAAGCCGGGGAAATATATATTCAAGGTAAGTAATAAAAGTAAGACAGACCTGTAGCCGGGGAAATATGTGTTTAAGGTAAGTTATAAAAGTAAGACAGACCTTTACCCAGGGAACTATACGTTTAAGGTAAGTTATAAAAGTCAGGCAGATCTGTAGCCGGGGAAACATGTGTTTCAGGTAACTTATAAAAGTAAGACAGACCTAAATCAAGAATAAATATGTGTTTAAAGTCAGAAATGATGTTTCAGTTGTTATATATATACAATGGCCCTAAAGCCGGAAAATATGTGTTTAGGGCAAGTTATAAAAGTAAGACAGACCTACAACCGGCGAAATATGTGTTTAAGGTAAGAAATATAAATGTCAGTGGTTATATACAAATGCAGTAAAGCCGGGGAAATATGTGTTTAAGGTAAGTGGGATGAGGAAATGTGTTTAGATACAACAGACATGAAGCCAGGTGATGGCATTCTCTCTCGTGCTTGAATTGATTGCATTCGGTTAAAATCAAAGTTTCTATATCTAAGACACCTAATCCATGTGCTAGGTTTCCATCAAGCTCTACCTGCTGCAATAAAACTCCTATCTGCCGTGGACATTCCAGCACATTTTTATACACGCAAAAAATGAATTTGCTGATGTATTTTGTAATTATTTTCCGTTCCTCTGCAGTACAATTAAGATCGTATCTTCCAAATATCGCAGATCTACAGAGATTACAGGCAGGAAGTCATGCTAGAAACACATTAACCTCCCACGTGATATTGGAGATTGCCGACAATCTTGCAACGTTCGAAAGTGATAGCCATGTATTTGTTAAGATGAGGAACATCCCACCATGTATAAATAAACAAACTAGATGTTTCTTAAGTGAGTTTTACTATCTAAATCACCAATCAATGGTTAGTACATTTGGTTATCTGAAATGTTTTGGATGGATTCTAAAAAAGAGTGAGCATGAATCAAATATCCTGGTGACGTTTGATCAATGGCAGTCGTTCAAGTTATGTAACCATGGGAATGTCGGTGGTCTGTCCTGGTAAAACATGATTTATGTCATACCATGTGATCTATTATCGTTACCAATAATACCTTATAAAGTTAAGAAAGTGAAAGAAAAATCAATCTCCAATATTGTGAAAAAAGACAACATTATAAAAACAAGGATGCATCAAAGAAAAACAAAAAGAAATGCAATATGAATTTAAACAAAAATGACTCCTGCATTTGCCAATACTTTTGAGCACATTCCAGCAAACGGCATATAGCGTATGGTGTTCCTATCGAAACCCCCAATCACGAAATGTGTGATGATGTTTGAATGGTATACAGTATGTTTCCATTACGATAATTGTGATGACGTTTTTAAGGTTCCTGTGGAAATGTCGCCAGTCCAGTGGCTATTTCAAAGTTATTTTGCTTTTCTTGATAATATCAGGACTTTCTGGATAGTCAAATGGACCAATAAGCTATATTACATAGCTATAGATCGGCCAGTATTTACTTTGAGAGGTTCAAGCTACCCTGTTGTATTCAGCTGTTGATAATGTGATGTTTTTATGACAATGTCATGACGCCATCTAATGTTTATGTATTTACATTTCAGGTTGAGATAAATCCTTCCTTGTTGATAGCAGAACTCAGCTACGACAACAACGTGATCACATGTACGTTGGCTTACACCGGATACCAAGCCAGAATACTCGAATGCAAATTAGGAAGTTTGCTAGGATAACACACAGCGAACTAAACAAAATAATCGACGCCAGTATTAGGTGAATTTTAATGCGAAATTCCAAAAGGTCCAATAACTTTTAGTTAAGTAACGCCACTGATATTTCAGGAATCACTCATCTCTTTTGATGCCGAAGGTTGTCTCCTTTTCATAAACTCTGACTGATTTGAAAGGGACAGGCCTGTGAACATTACAATAATGAGTTGAAGATTCGGACTAACCGTATGACGTTGACTATAACTATGACACTCAGGTGCAGAGAGACGCTTAATATCGATGTGAAATATAGACAATATATATCGGTCTACTTACATTTGTGATGTAAACAATGATTAACCCACGCTAATAGGAGGGTCAATAATTGTGAAAAAACATAAGGTACACAGCTTTCATTATACCAAATGTCTTTCATATTTTGCGAATGTCAGCTGTATTGTATGATTTGATACTTTGGCTTATTTCCGGTTGACATAAAACCCGACAGCATTATTTACATCGGATGTATCGCTGACTTGGTTTAGCGTTGTGTGTAAATCATCCAAGTGAAGGTCTGCATAAACCCAGTGACGGGTAGGGCACGTCCATAACACCTACTCATAATCTACAGTCAGGAGGCTGTGGCGGGTATTGCACGTCCACAGAACCGTTCCACTCATAAACTACGTGACGCAGCATGAGAGGGGAAATCACTTTGAAATCCATTAGTTAGAGAAATGAGTTGTCATGTGCATTGCTTTTGTTTGAGTGTTTATTTTATTGGTATTTCTGTGATAAGTGATGATATGAATGTGAAAACAGTATAAAAGTTTGTTGTTATTGTAATGCAGATTAGGAATTTTGCAAATAATGCATTGCCTACTCGTTGATTTTTTATTAAGCAAACATGCTGTGATCTATATTTAATCAATATAATTTCACAAATCATAATATAAAAAGTGCCTATATCGTATGCACTATTATCAACCATGACACCTAGATAAGAACATGTGTTTATTATATTAACTTGTAACCAGGTGATGTTCCCAATGACTTTTAATAATAACTAATGTAGAAAGGAAATGTCATATTATATCAAAACACACCAGTGTCATAAGATTTTTAATCAAATATCGTTATCATATATTTTCTCAATTTGTTCAGATGTTCATCCATTAACTTATTATTCCACAAACATGAATGTTAATCATTTAAGATATGCTTTAATAATTCAATTAACTTTTAGAGTAATTTGATAGTAAAACGTAAAATGGAAGTCATTACCAAAAATTATGTAAATTTTCATGATGAAGCGCTTCTTCAGTGCTATGGATGGGGGAGTATGTTAGAGACGTTGAACGAACGGAACATGATTTACAAAAAGTGAAGATTTCAGTAAATCTTGAATAAGCGGATTATGATAACATCATACTGTTTTTAATTTTTAATCGTATCTATTTTTGTAATCCAGACAAAATTTTAAATATTCTTTTGTTTTATAATTACACCCTCTTTTGAAAACGGGGGTTCTTAAAGCTGTGATATATAGAAAGAATATATTTTAATTCAAAGTATCGATAACACAATGACAATCCGTGTTTTTTTTACTAAGTTGTGTTCCAAGAGAAATATTAAATCCAACCATCTTTTTCTATATTGGCCATTACATTTGGTTTAGCCTTAGTCAACCTATCATACTAATAGTCACTGCACACTCTATTGGTCTCTTTCTCTAGCTACTATTTCTGATAACTGATAGGTTTTGTCAATGCCTCTCATTGAAGGGATGGCGGACAATGTAGCTTTACAACTCCAACACTTTCCAAAATAGGTGTGACAATGGCGGAGACGTATAGTCCTTTGTTTGTTCTCTACTCAAGAATCACACATTAGGACCAGATATAGTCCCTAACAAAAAAGGGGGTAACTTTGGTTATGCATTGTAGAACTGTTTCGTATATTACTATGTAGTACTTTTTATATGCGAATCACCGGTGTTGCGATATTTATACATTGTGAGTTGTAATCATTGCCTTGTGAACTCAGAGTGGAGATATAAATAATACCGATGATATCATTGTCTCTCACAATCAAAATATTAATAATACATTGAATTCAATTATATTATAATGAAAGTGTCGCGTTCATGAACTATGAACTCAATATGTTTGTTCTATTGTCATGACCTCATTGTCTTTCGTAAGCATCAACTGTATTTGCACAAGGATAAGAAAATAGACATTTAACTGTCGAGCGGGTCTTTAACATCCACTGTGTATGTATATATTTGATAACGCACGTGTTTTTTATGCTTTATTTGGATTTTATTTATTACTGATGTGCATAACTTGTCTAATAAATGATACTCTAAACTAATAAACATGGTTTTAGTTTTGAACGACACTTAGTCTTAGAGAAACAAGTATCAATAGCCATTTCGAGCTAAACAAGCTCCATCATTAATATATATTTATTTGGAAAGACATTTACAAACTAACGATCACCGACACATGCAATTTTATATGATAATTTTATGTAATGATAATTTGATTAATATAATGACATCTTGTGAAATACAACGCCACAATGTATTGACATTGACAATCTTTTCAGTGACCAACAGATGAACACATTTGCCTGATCCTAAAAAGCCAATTGCGCTATGATGTACTATTCCGTCTTTGCATATTGCAGAGTTATCTTCTCTTGGGAACAGGTATTGATTGTTACGTCATTGGTTTGTGCGAGAAAATTCCGTCGTTTTCTCAAAAATTGATGACGTTACTCTCACAAACAAGTGACGTAACAATCAATACCTGCTCCAAAGAGAAGATAATTCTGCTATACGCAAAGACGGAATAACCACTTGACATACAAAGACAGGAAGCAGCTATCGAAATTAAGTAAATCTACAGAAAACGCAACGGATGAAACATGCATTGTGCCTTATTGACTATGTTGTCCACTTATGAGTGGTACTAATGGTTGAAGTAATGAAAAATGGGTCTAACGTGTTCCAAAATAGCGTTACAGCAAAAAGGGAAAAGATGCCTACAACTAAATCATTGGTAACTTTAAGCCACACCAGATATTCTGTTATTGTAAGCCAGTATATTACGTAAACAGTTCCAAATGAAATTACAGCTTAAAAGGTTACGGCAAACCTCGGAGCTGCTAGTCAACCTGCAGAGTCAACAACCTCGTGACGTAGCGTCATCATTGGAATGTAAGGAATGTCCTATTTAAACATTCAAATAATACATTTGAGAAACCATATGGAAAAGGTTGCTTACAATGAACATATACAACATGAAACCCGAAAACATTGTCTAAAGGAAAAACCAGTACAAGAATCAAAGAAATAGTTGAGATAATAAACTACCCCTAAATAGCTGACAAACACAATGACACACTGATAAAAAGTTGATCATTTCCTTTTGAATACGAATGACATTTCACTATCATGGCAAAATGCATCAAAATGGCAAACGCGAAAAATGAGAAATTTTCTGCCACACAATTAACACGTTTATCTAATGAAAAATAAATGTGATGGTGAAATGTAATAAAACGATAAACTAATACAAAACATACGAAGTGTTACATTCCATAAGAAGTAAAATTACAAAATATATAATGATATTCATATAAAAGTGAAGATTTATATACAGTGAGCATAAATACACCAGCAGCGTATAATGCGCCGCTAGTAAGCTCGAAAAGAGTTATGTTGTCAAGACGGTTAGTGTGACCTCTGTACATTTGCGACAGTCGCCGTGGGAGCTTGTTGTGCAATAATATTCATAGACGGCACAAGTGTATTGTTTACAAGGCATTTTCCTAACTTATGCACTTATATGTATTACAATTTTATGTACCTTGTAAAGAGAATAGATTAATCACGGATTGTTTTACTAGTGCCAGAGTAAAACATGAACCAGATTATGAAGATGGCTGCACACTTCCACTAATAAGTGGAAAACAAATATATTTTTTCAACATTTTTTCGTTTTAATTTTAGTGTAAAAAAGAAAGCTCTGAGAAACTAAAACAACAATAAGTTAATGTGAAAACCAGAGCATTGTAAAATCAAATATCAAACAATACATACACCATAGCGTGTTCACACAAGGAAAATAATCGAAACTTAAATGTGTGATCGAGTCCTCTTGTTGTTATTACCTTTAGTTCAGTGGTAGTGGTTTATTGACGTGTTTAGTTCCACTTTCAGTTTCGTTTTGTCGAAATCTGTACTCTGTTTATCATTTGGAGCATACCAATATCTAAAGCCTTTTTCACTTAAGATGAAACTTGTCAGCATGATGTCCAGACGTCAGTTGCTTTGTAATTTATATGTATATGTTGTCGTGTGTTATAGGCATATGTATTGTTAACGTATGCCGTTATTTACCATTAAGTTTCAATGGTGCTAATAATCAGATAAATAACACACTGTATGCGTTATCTTTGAAGAACACTTTGAGTCGCTGAGTAAGGAAAATTGTCCAAAATTTGAAACGAAATTAAAAGGTATAACATTGATTATCGTTACATAATCCTTTCGTAGATAAAACTTATTCCTTCTGTTCTATTAGATAAATATCTGCGCAGGATAGATCCCTAATACACCATTTACCATAAGATAGCCCATGATATCTTGCCAAAAACCCGGTACCATGAAATTCAACATAGCAGGAAGTTGCTTGGCCACATACACAGCCTAACATGCAGATTAACAATCTAAAATTAATTGCGATGACGTTATAAATAACATGCTGAAAGTCTCACACATGACAGGGTGAATTCAAACAACTCACATGCAACAGAAATGCATGTCTGTTTATTATTTCAGAACCTGTTCGGAGGTTCAAGACCTACTCATATGGAAATTACAAAAATAAATGAGAGCAGCACGTAAACCCTTTGTGACGCCCAACCTGAGTAATGCGTATGACATGCAGTATTACACGTGCGTGTATAACATGTGTGAGAAGGGGAAAACAGAGTCGACAATACACTCTCGATGTTTCATAATTGTTAACAACACAGAGTCGACAATACAACCTCGATGTTTTATAATTGTTAACAACACAATGTCGACAATACACTCTCGATGTTTTATAATAGTTAACAACACAGAGTCGACAATACAACCTCGATGTTTTATAATTGTTAACAACACAGAGTCGACAATACAACCTCGATGTTTTATAATTGTTAACAACACA